GATAGTTTTAATGAACCAAAAATTGCTGTTCAGTTGATTATTTTTGATTAAATATTACCTTTAACATTAATTAAAACTTACTTATTGTGCGACTTCAGCTAATTTTTTTTTAAAACATTATGATTTTAATATTTTTCAAAGAAAACATTAAAAAACTCAGGGAAGGGCCCCCGCCTCCCCCGCAGCAAAGGCACTAGTCTACAAAAGTCCGGGTCTAAGGTAAAACCGCAGAAAACTCTTTTTTGCATCTCCTGTCGTCCCCCCACCCCCTCCCCCCCTCCTTTCCCCAGGAGCCCGTTACGCCATTTTTGTGATGAATTCTTGAGACACGCTGCTTGAAGACTTTACCAATTATTTGATACTTCATCAGCTTAGGCCAGCTAAGAGTATTTAAGTACGGTTTTCGAAGATAAGCCTTACCCCATCGGGCTGTAGCTCCTCGTCGCTGCTTTCACTATCCGTTTCGTAATAATTTTCCTGAACCGGTTGCGGCTTCAGTTCAGCTGCTGGTATAAAATCACGTCCTGCCAAACTTGATAACTTTCGTGGCGTAGCTTCCTCTTCTTCAAATCTGTAAAAGAAAATCAGTACATTCTTCAAAAAATCTGGATCAGGAGTTGACGAGCATGACATAACGATAAGTAATGCTATTCTCATGCTTAAAATCGTGATACACCCCACCAATTAGCTTTTGATTCGTTCATTCGTTTTGATGATAAACTTACTACCGACGTAGGTCAAGGAAAAAACCCCCTCCCCCTGTCCCCACCACCTCGCTATCAGCTTCCACATAAGCAGGCAGCCATCGACAACCTTGCCAGCAGATGGATGCTTTCGGCACTTGCTAATACTACTCAGATTAATAAGACAATCTTTTAAAGATGGAAAAAGACAAAAGCAAATAATTAGTAAGGAATTAGTGGAAGTAGTAAAATATTTTAATAAGATATAATGGTAAGAAATGTTTCGGTCCGTTAAGTCGTATATTATTCAGATTAACTCCATATGCCTCCACCTCTCACAAAGAAGCAAGTTTTGGCTTCGGCTTTGACTAAAACAGGAGTTTATAAGCAAATCCAGATGTTTTTTATTCCATCAGAAATCGAGATTAATTTAAAAAAAAAATAAAAAAGTAAAAGGCCAAGCAAAAAATACTGAAATTACAAAAATCCGGGAAAAATAAATTTTGCAGATTTTATTTGCCAGAAAATCCTAAACACAGAAACAGCCAAAATTTGTTTTTTTGTCATCATTAAACATCAAGAAACTTTATAAATATTGAAAAGAGATAAAAAAGAGGTATGAATTACAAGAAGTATAGAAAGTTTGAAAAACTGGGAAGCTTGTAAAATCCAGAGGTAACAAACCTCTCGATTTTTTTCGGATGAATTACTGCTGCAAGTTTGTCCAGTGTTCCAGCGGGTAGTTGGTGCTGTTTTAAACTTTCATACAGCGACTCTCTCTGGAAAAAAAAAAATAAGCGTGACGCTATTCTTGAGTATCATCGAAAAATCGAGATTTCTGGAATTTCTGCAAATTTTGAAATTAGACATCCAAATTTTAAGACCAAAAATAGCTGGGAAATCGTGAAATTAGACAATTACTTTTGAAACAAGGCATGCGAAGAGGAAGTCTTTTGCATTTTGGGAAACAAAAAAAAACCAAAAATAAATAATTGCTTAAAATACGAATAAATAAAAAATTGCCCAACAAGGTATAAATAATTATCTAAAAAAGAGGTACACAGCTAAGAAAAATGCCGTTTTTGCGCCTTTTCACGGAAATCCTTCATTTCAAGATGTAGAACAACAGCTAAATTCACACAAAACACATGATCACACCTTATTCTTTCAATTTCGGTACAAAATTTACGGCTACAAGCGAATACAAGGGGGCATTGACGAGAAGCACCGTAAATTAGTAAATGTTTGTCGGTCCCCGAGGAATACCAGTGAAGTTATAGTGAAATCAACATTGCTCTACTGAACTGAATCAGACGACAAAAAACCTCATAAACAGCAAAGCTCCTAGTCAGCGGACTATCTCACTGCGGCCTCGAAATGACTACATTTTTTAATACGAGTCTCACGTGAGGATACGTGAAAATTATGACGTGGAAATTGCTAAATTAGGAATCAGAAAAGCTAGAAAGCTGAAATTTTGAAAAGTTCTTCTCTGCCCATGTACAACTTAAAGATTATTTCAAATCCAGCCTCCCCCCTCGTCGATATGAGGCAAATATCATGGACATTTCGAAACGGCTACAGCCGCCTTGCCAAATATTTTTGTTAGGAAAAACCTTGAGACAGCGATTCCTTCAAAATAGATGGTCAGAAGGTTAGGGAAAGGTGAAGTAGCACCGATCAAAGCAATTAGAAAAGTTACCATCCGCACTGCTAGGAAACAGGCCATGAATTAAAAGATGCCCAAGTATTCCGAAAGAAAGTTATAATAAGAAGGAATGAAATAAAGAGAAAAAAAAAATAGAGGGAAAAAGAAGGTAAGAAATGAAAATTAGAAAATTTTTGCGTTTATTATAATGGTAAGAAATGTTTCGGTCCATTAAGACGTATACAGATAAGCTTAAAATTATCAACAGCACATGAATCGTTTGTTTACTGAATAAGAGGAACTCACCGACTGCTTTATCTCTTTCTTCTCTTTTAATTTCATCAACTTTTTTCGCTTTGTTTTTGACATTTTCGCCTCAATTTGTGCCAGACGTCGTTTTCTCGCCTCTTCCTTTTTTCGATTCACCGCCTTATCACTCGTCTTTTTTGCCTTTTTCCTTGTCTGAAAAACGGTAAATTTTTTTTGGATGGCAATGTGTTTTATTGAAAAAAAAGGATGAATTTTTCATTTTCGGATAACAACGAAAGCTCGAATTTTTTAAAAAAAAAAGCATAAATTTTTGGAACTTAATCTGAAAAAGACACTATCTGCCTTTTTTCACATTTTTCCTTGGTTAATTTGCTGGGAAATTTTGTCCATTTGGAAGAAACTGACAGTTATGTCTAGCCAGGAAGTGAGTAAGCGTTACAATTTCCAATCAAAAATGTACAGAGAAAGAATGCTGTCTGGCGTAAATTCCACAGATTAACAAGTTGCTGAACACAATTTTACCCTTCCTCCTTTTCTCTACACGATAAAATTCGATTTTTGAAAAAAAGTGTTTTACAATACAGCTTACTTACTTTAGACTTCAATGGTAATACGAATGCATTGGTAGTATCAGCCAGATTAACGTATTCATCCGACGGACCATCAGTCGCCTCCGGCCGATGCCCCTGTTCGTCGCTTTTTGACGCACTTTTTCTGCGTTTCATTTTCTAAAATTTGTTTTTGCATGGATATAAAAGTCTGAAAAACAATCAATTCTTCCTCAGATGCACATGGACCGCTGCTCCCCTAAAATTCCCGCGGTTCACCGATAATTCGCCGAAAGCGGACCAAAATGCGTCCAGCCAGAATTTTGGGTTTAGCAAGACAAAAAGCTGAGAACTCCGTGAGCTGACAACTGGAAACCCCGGCGAAACACCGCGATCTACCGAAGGTCGACAAAAAGCACCCAGTCCATAGGCGGATGCAGGCGAAGAGGAAGGAGAGGGGGGTGGGGGCGATGGGTATTCCGCCCTCCTCCAAGTGCCACAAGCACCAATGCTGCAAGAGGCCCAGGTCTAAAGTCAAAACTGAAGTAAACTAAAGCCTAAAGTAATTCTAAGTAGCAGTGTTTTACAACTCTATTCCTAGTTTTTGCGTATTCCCCGAGGTTGAGAGGGACCCTTCCCCTCTCCCCGCCGTCCATCCTGGACCTGCCCACAGCGACAAAAAGCATCCAGCTACACGCTAAAGCTCAAGAAATTTTTTCCTGGGAAGGAAACTAGTCATAACGGCCACGAATGAAGTTGCCAAGAAGGAGCATGGGTGTGAAGGTGGGGTGCTTGAGCGGAACACTGTACTATCGATCCAGTACAGCGGGTGGGGTCACGTGGCCTGGGGTTGGGAGAGGAGGGGGGGGGGGAAGGTTGGGCATCTTTCAGGTTTTCTAGGGCGGGGAGGAGGGTTACTGCGAGACGAGAACTTGGACTGTACCTCTCTTACATGGGAATGGCAGCTGTATTCTCCTTGTCTCGCCGACGCAGCAATCTTCCCAGTCTACACTCCCATAACCCCCTCCCCCCCGCTCCC